TAATGTGTCTTTAATGCATAGTTGAAATCAGAATACCTAATTCATATGATGATACGTAGGCTACTCACCACGTTCTTTTTGAGATGGTGCTGCATGCGCAGAGCATATCACAACCACAAGTAGAAAATATGGTGTTGAACGCATTCCCATTCAAATAAACTCAACGTCTTTCGCGTAATTACGGTATATACTTCTGATAACGTAGGTTCAATTAAACATTTGGTTTACGACGGAAACGTGTGATTCACATCATATTGTTACTGCGGTAAATCCACCACGGTATTATTGCGAGGGAGACTCAATGTTTGCTTGCAACATATGTATTAGTTAATACACGAAGAGGCGCATCGTGGTCATGTTCATGAATTAATAACGATGTAAGTTCAACCTGAGATATACTCAAGCAGAGCGCTCAACATAACCTACAAGTATTCCCGAACGCTACTACCGTGTGCGTACAATCAGAATACTGCAAACAATGCCTGCCAGCTGCCACCACTCGCTAATTTCAAAGGAATTGTTCAACTAAATCGATAGTGCTTTCTGCGAGGCCTACGACTCACTCGTAGATTAATCCATGGATTTCATCAACTACCGACTCCGCTCGTAAACAAACGCCTTGAATATAACAAAGTTGTCTTTGTTTCCTTGATTGCTCTACCACAAATATATAGGCCTCTTCTTTTCTACCTTTACTCAAGTCTTTAAAAAAATCCCCAACTGAAGCGATGCGGAACGTCCGTTTAAATACATCTGGCCCTATTTCGCCTATCTGGTTTGGCGTTTCTGATATTGATCACTCAAGCAATTATGAACGGAAGTCTCGAGCATTCACACATATTGCATTTTGAAACTACATTAATAAAAAGAAATCACATTTCTACGGATATTTTCCTGCAGTTCTTCACTAGAAGTCAATAAAGAATATAATTGATATTACTTCGTTTAAAAACGCTACCTGGTTTATTATGCTGTTCACCAAACCGATAAAAACAATTGAAAATCAAACATTTTATGATTTATCTGACCAGAACCAATCTATTACAATGACCGCAACAACGAAAAAAAAGTTGAATCGAAGTAAACGACATTCGCCCAAGGCAAACCATACTGGATATAAAATTACAAAACCGTGTCTTATGAACATCTATCCTCACGTGAACTTTAAAAAAAAAGGAATGTAGGTTGAAGCGTGACCCCAATACAACCGTGCTCTCTTTTAAGCAACACAATTGTCCGATCAAGTTAGAAATTCAAGGAACTCAAAACCAAATCAACAGATTGACTAAAACTATAGGCAACCAACTTCAAATCAACCATAAAATGACGCAGAATCGCGATGTGCTCAAATTAAAAGCATTTTCTGTGTACAATGGAAGGCCCCGATTCATCGTATTCAGGCTTCGATATCCACATCTGTTGGAACGTTGACAGAGAAGCGAGTATCGAACCGCCAATCCATACGGAATATTTCCGCTCTGGGGGAGCAATAATTTTGATTTTCATCGTACTAGGTGCAAGAGAAGTTATTTCTTTTTGCATTCGATCCCCGATACCTGACCATAAAAAAGCAAGATACGATTAAAAAGATTGATGATTCCCATTGTGTTTTTCTAACTAACTATGATTATACTAACCGGGAAACATAGTAGATCCACCAGATAAAACTGTATTTGAGTAGAGATCTTTACGTATATCGACGTCACATTTCATGATAGAGTTGTAAGTTGTTTCATGAATTCCCGACGATTCCATACCAAGAAGTGAAGGTTGGAACATAGCCTCCGGACAACGGAAGCGCTCGTTTCCAATAGTAATCACCTGGTTGGCACAAAAAAATGGGGCAATAAGATTCATTCATCTTTGCTTAAATGACGATAGAGGGATCCAGGAATAGCGTCCATGGATCTGAGTTCTATTGAATTTTTGTAAATTTGACCTAATCATTTAAAGGGCATTAGAACGTCAGAACATTTTATATATATTACAAAGTTCAGGCTTTTTGGAGGAAACGTTTAGAACATGTGGTGCTGAATTGACTAAACTTCACATGAAGCCAGGCAAGAATACGAGAACATAAAATTCTCATGGATTCCGAATCAATATAACATGCAGAAAATATAGTCAATAGTGCATCAAATTAAAAGCTTGTAAGCCCTAGGGATATACGGTGTTTTACTTTGTGCTAGCCAAACAGCGTTATTTATTATTAACTAATTGCTCAAGGCAAGTTTATGAGAACTTGTTTGACCCAAAGTAAATCCGAATTATTGAATCACGAATGTTTATGAAAATCGAAACGGAAACTGATTAAATTCTTTGATGCATATCTATCACCTACCGTCGAAAAATAAAGTTATCTATGATTAAAGCATAATTGACCAAAAAGCCGTCATTTGATAAAAAGACGCCCATACTAAAACAGTTTGATATTATAAAATTTTACCTAGAACTTCTTGCAGTTGAATTGCAACCCAGAATAATGCAAATGAAATATGCCGAATTTACTTCGTAAAATTGGACATTCATGACTGCGATTACGAAAAAAAAAATTCAATATATCTCAATCCATCAAATTCCAAACACTGAATCCAATTAGAATTCGCAAATTGCAATGCTTGAAAAATTACGATGATAAAATTAAAATATACCTGCCCATCTGGCATTTCATAACATTTTTCCAAAGAACTACTGGTTGCAGCTGTAGCTAATTCTTGATCAAAATCAAGTGCAATATAACACAGTTTTTCTTTCATGTCACGAACAATTTCGCGTTCGGCTACAAATGATAAAAATTTTCGTAATTGAAATTACCAAAATTTCCTAATGATTATAAAAACTGTAAAGTGTTTTGCATAAATCATGAGTAGGCTGCTTTTCGTACCGTACCTACCGGTATCAATAAATCTGTTTCGCGTCGCGTCAAATCGGAAACAGCCGTCACGATTGACGGATTAAAAAACGTTTTCCACGAAAAAAAAATAGAGCGAGATTTTGGATGAATTATCAGATCTCATAGGATTCATATAGAAAATTTAGCAATTGGTCCAGTAGTGAGTAGTGAATGAGAAAAGCGATTTTTTTTCATAACAAGAAGAAAAATACCAACAAGATCAACAACAACAAAATACCGAAAAGACCCACGTTTCACCTCGCGTCCAATAATTACAAATGGTATCGACTGAATCTACTGAATTTTCGGCACCAATGAAGATCATAAATATATATAATGATCTTTGCCTCAATTGTCGCTTTGACAATAACGGGATTTTGTTTAGGGAATGAGTATGGTTGATCATTGGAAACGGTGTGACTAAAAGACTCAAATGGAGTTTTTAGTGTATAGCGACTTTCGAATTGTCAACATAATATTTATAGAATAAATGATAATTTCAAAAGATAAAAAAAAAAGGATAGGACCTGTTGTTGTGAAAGAATATCCTCTTTCAGTCAAAATTTTCATCATGTAATCGGTGAGATCTCTCCCAGCTAAATCTTGTCTTAAAATAGCATGTGGAAGAGCATATCCTTCATAGATTGGAACAGTGTGCGATACGCCGTCTCCGCTGTCCAGTACGATCCCTAAAAAATGGCTATGAGGTGAATAAAATGTCGAAAATATTTATGTATGTGAATATGCTGGTTACAAAAAATAAACGCTGTTGCACGCTGAAACATTGAACAATGGCCAAATTTTATGGGTACTCCCGTAGTGCGTGTACCAGGTTAGGCTATAATTTTATTCCGATTTTCCTTATTTTAGTTCTATTACGAGTTCGAGGACTGTCTGTGTTAACCAAGGGAATATACCCCCTGCTCATAGGCTTCAGTCTCTTCACTTGATTAAACTGGGCGAATAAAATTAGTTACCGCCATATTGGTAGTTTGCTACACACACTTCTGGAGCGCCTTTTTATGTTTATATATTTTATTTGTACAATGAGGAATAAAATAAAGATTTAACAATAACCTGTTGTTCGCCCAGATGCATATAGGGACAGTACTGCTTGGATAGCAACATACATTGCCGGGGTGTTGAACGTTTCAAACATAATTTGCGTCATTTTCTCACGATTCGCCTGTAAAAATAAAACGCTTGGATTGTTGTATAATTTCATAAAATAAACTATGTTATATTAAGTCCGCCTGGCATCACTTTTTCATCTTTAAAAATCGTATAAATAAATTCACCACGGTCCAGGAAAGATATAACATGTGCCATGAATACTGATATCTATACCTTTGCCCTGTTATAAATGATAACTATGCTTGAAAAATGCTTTCTTGAAAAAATTTACCTTCGGGTTTAACGGAGCCTCTGTCAAAAGTACTGGGTGTTCTTCGGGAGCAACGCGAAGTTCGTTGTAAAATGTATGATGCCAAATCTTTTCCATGTCATCCCAGTTGCTAACTATGCCATGTTCAATTGGGTACTTCAAAGTTAATATCCCACGCTTGCTTTGAGCCTCGTCTCCAACGTAGCTATCTTTTTGGCCCATACCAACCATCACTCCCTGTAATGTATTTAATATATTCGAGGAAATTTATAAAACAGACCAATCGAGCTTCTCTATAACATTCTTAAGTGTTTTTTATCAGACCAGATTTCATCATTCGGGAAATTAATGCAATTAACCCCATACAGCTATCTTAACATCATAGGATGTCGGACTAACTATACTGCAAAATCATTCTGCTTTTGAATACGACTTCGTAGTAGCTACATTGTTGAGTAGGAGTCCTGCGGTATGCTTTTGACTATGAGAATATATACGGTAACTCTGTCAAATTATCATAGCCTAGCATGCATACCGGAGCAATGTATGGCAAATTAAGGGTAGTAGGTAAGTTAGCAGATTCATGAATGCTCACTGCATAACTACTAGTCTGCATTACCACAATTAGCTATTCTAGGTCTAAGTTGGCCTAATAAAATTAGGAGGGAAAAGTGAGCAGAAAGGCGGCAAGTAAATTCATTTCGCTATCCACATAAAATACAATCACGCACACATAACAGCAATGCAACAAATAGACTAAATAACCAAGAAAACAAAATTTTCAAGAAAGATTCAAACAGAAAGAATCAAAGGACTCAATGCAGGAAAGGCATAGGCTACTCGGAAAATATCGGACACATTAAATCGAGTTATATACAAGACATTATCGTTGGGCAAGGTCTGATGTGGTTAACGTTACGGTAGCTTACCTGATGTCTTGGCCTTCCAACAATGGATGGAAACACAGCTCTTGGGGCATCGTCACCAGCAAACCCTGCTTTACACATTCCAGACCCATTATCAATTACAAGAGCAGCGATATCGTCATCCATATTTTTTAAATATAGGCTACTGGATGAAGGACAGCGGGTTTACAGTTGTAAAAGGAATGGCACAGACAGCTTTTCCCGCCTTACATTCGAGCAACGTGTTCATGCCCTTATTTGGCAATGAAAGCCGATGTTGGTGCATCCATTTTGACGTCACAATATACACAATTTACGTATTGTAGACCGATGCCAGTATTTAAATGAGAAATCTTTTTTAAACTAATAGATTTTGACGCGTCGAGAACAAAGGCATAAACGTTATATGACAACATGTTGGTATGCAAGGTCTTCGGACATAGGAAAAGTAGTAGACCAGAGACCCACTGGCCACTAGACCAGTTGTATATATATGGTTTGATGTGACCCAACGACGGCGAGGAGTCTAACAATAAATCTATTCGCATAAACGGCAATTATCCGCACGGTATTGTAATCAGAGATTCAATGGCGAACGTAAACCTAACGCTTAGCACAATTCGTCCACCATCGAAAATAATCTGCTAGTATTTAATGTATATGCGCCGTTAAAATTTCCCATTATCGCCTAATTCAGGCCTAGGTTCTTTTATAAATTGTCCTCTCAAAACTGAGATGCAATTCCCATTCAACATGCTTGCAATTCGAAGCTCCAGAAATATGTGCACCAAGATGGCGCACAACACGAACATAGTATGTGTACCAGTATATTAAAATCATTCTCAAAATTCAGGCTAGGTCTTATTTTGAGGGTAGGTCTTATTTTCGGGGAAACACGGTATATCTTCCGTAAAATTTCCTTTGAATTCGTCATTTTTGATGTTCAAATTATTGAACTGCGGGATTAGCAGAAAATGGTTAAATTATCCAGCATGGGAATGTTAATAAGATCTTATATATGCTCATTGGATCTACAAAACGAATATGCATACCACATATTGCTTTCTTTCCTATTAGGCTAGTTTTACGACAAAGCACAAGGTATTTGTAGTTTTACGTTCTTTCACGCAAATACAGCAGGAGTGGGCTCGCAGTCTGCGTAGCAACATGTTTCAGTCTATGATATAGTGCCCATGGCTGATATAAAATGGCTTCTCACTAACGAGACTAACTCGTGACTAGGAAACTTTGAGCTTCTTTTGAAAAAGATTCCAGCAAGTTGTTAAACTGCTTTAGGACTTCCCCCGCCTAATATGGGAAATTTATAACCGAAAATGTCACACGCCAATCGCCATTAATGAACAAGCTCATGTTCCAATTAGAATAGGTGCTGCTAGGATAAGTTGGTACGCATAACGCATGCCACACGTCTAAAACCGTCCGTACTCACTTACCGGTGCCTTGCCCACGTTTGTAATTGTGGTTGAACGACCCACAGAAGTATTTGTACCATACTATGTACCGATACCACTTTCGTCGCCGATATCAACGAAAAAACGCCTATACCGAATACCGATACTGTGTAATTATTACTCCAAGTGTGCAGGGTTAAAACAATAGTGAATATGTGCCCCTCATTGGACACGTTTAGTGAACATAACGATCGTTTTGTTGTTATATTGTTCTTGTTTATAATGCACATTATTTCAGATTGAATAGGAAATATTCCAGACAATGAGAAATTGATGTTTGTGATCCAGATGCATTAATTGATTCAGATGAAAGAGTTTATTCCATTCGTTGCATCGGCGCTAGTAATCTTGGTGTTTAATTAGAAAACTCATACGGTTTGGCTACCATGGGTGGTAAAATAAAATAATATTTTTCATAATTACCGGTACCATGTAATATTAAAAATGTCAATATAAAAATATGGCAGCTAAAATAGCCAATTTAATTGAGCTAGTTTGGCTTATAAATAGCTGAAAACAGGCCACACTCTTTCCACTAGCAGGGGTGGGGACGAGCATGGCTCACAGTTAATTAAAGAGGCCAACACCGCGAACACGATCCCTCCAAAAAAAATTTAACATCCGTATTCTTACCCGATTTTAAAACATTTTGGATCAGATTAAAAAGCTATACGATCTGTATTTAGCCGATACCCATACCGAAAAAAGCGGCCGATATATCGGCACATCTCTAATTTGTAACCCCCTTTGCACTACTTTCATCCCCCCGGTATATTTTGTGATGTCGTCGAACGTAAAGTCAGGTAGATTTTCCAAATTATTGCCATAAATGGTAAATACGATCAGGTAGTCGGTTGTGACAGGTAATCAGGTATACAACACGCAACAGAACCCGTGCACACCTCGAAATTTACCCCTGTCGTCATGCTCTCCTTTCAGCGGAAGCGCTAGCGAGATGAATAGAGAACCTTACTTATCAAAATTGCGCAGTTGCCCTTCCGGCTTTTCGCCACCTGAGGGTCGAGATTTCCCACTTTGAGAATCACTGTTCTACAGCACCTTTTCGAGCATATATATATATATTACAGTGCATGATAGGAACAAAAATGGTTGGCGTCACTTGAGCGTTATGACTGGGTTCATGCTGCCATACTAAATCCCTGTTACCTTAACCTGCAATCTCAATGCTTCCATTGAGTGTCAACATTTCTATAGAACCTATTGTTACAAAATAAGTTGGAATATATAAGTCACCCTTTCTCAAACACAATTTCCTTCCATCCCACTAAACCTACAATATCACGAAAAAATAAATCATGGCAATAACGCGAACTTGTATATTCTGCCCCAAAATTGCTTAGCTCATGTTTTTATTCAGGATAGTCAAACTACAGAAGCATGAAACGGGATAATATTGATAACAAGCTATTGATTAACTTATTGCACATCTCTATGAACCACAATATTAAGAAATATTGAGATCAATATACCGTTACCTCAGATATGCTTCAAACGGCCATTACAAAGAATTAAAACATAAAATAAATCCCCAAATCCTGGTGTATCATGTAAATTGATACACCTGAAGCACTATATGACAAAACCTTGGATATGTGGTCTCCTAAAATAGGTGGGACAATTTAATTTTAAAGACATTATTAGATCGGCCAGAGAGTGCTTGCTGAATCATATTTCAGAGAATTTGTCAGTCATTAGGAGTGTTCATTCAAAAAGTGTGCAATGCATACGTTAGGAAAGTTGTTATTTATATTGAGCGCCAGCTAGAATGGGCTCCTAAAATCAACTGAAACTCAAGTAACAAATTAGACAGCGTGGGCTGGATTTGGTCAGTTGAGGACTATTCCTAACACCCCTACAAAATTCCATAGGGGAGAGTTGAGGTGGTTGCCAAATAATAAGCCAGACATTCTTAACCAATGAATAAGCCAATGTTAACAAAAACTTGATCATCACAATAACAAAAATATTACAAAGGTGTGATAAGTTTGTTTCTACAATCAACATATTAATGCTGATTATTATCATTGTTAATTGTATAATCAAGTTATCACAATGAAAATAAAACTGTTCATATAAACGTATCACACTCATATGTTAAGTGAAAATACATGAACATTCCGTTCCACTAAAAACAAAAATATTCAAATTTGAAAAATCAAATCATTGGTCAAATGATTATCACCAAAATTTCAAATCAATATAGCTCAATGATATGTTAGTTTTTCTCAATTTATTTATAGTTTGGGGAATCAATACGAAATGTGGGAATATCTAACAGTTCAATTACATTCAAACTGGTTCTATTCTAGGTATATTTCATTTATTCAGTTTGGGCCATACCTGGTGCAGTCAATTCGGTTTGATTATTAAACTCATGAATTAGCGTAAAGAAAGCCATGGTAAGATAACGGGCAAGTTATGCTTTTCGAACAAACCTTGAATTATTTATCTCTATTATTTTTAGTTAAAATTTGTCTGCAGTTCGCAAAATAATATTTGTGTCAAATTTTATAATGAAAAATTTGCAATTGAATATGACAAATTTGAGAAACTGATTCTGCTGTGCAGTGGCTTAGCTGAGTAAAGTTCAGTAAACATCAGATTTAATATTAGAATAAGACATTCTCAGCTATAATATATTATAACTTCATACTTTAATATACAGTTACCATAAGAGATTAATTATTAATATGTTTGTTGAACAATAAACAACAATGCTGCATTGGTATGTTTGATTCTTACATAAGAATCTCACACACCCACTTCGATGGAATGTTATAGTTCCTCATTCTCAATATACAAAGGCAACTTTCTCAAACAAAACATTCACATAAGTTTGAATGTCTGGGATTAGGCTCAGTTTGTAACAGGATTTTCGAATAAAAATGATCATGAAATTCACAAGTTTACTCAAACTATATGGCTCCAATATAATTACGGTGAAGTTATTTTTCTTAAAATGTCATTCGAATTGGGAATTCAATTAAAATTTGATATATAGAATATTAAGAAAAACATCCCAAAAGTTGTTTTAAAGAGTATTAATTCAACTGAGTAAAAACGATTAATTGAATTATTGTACTTCTGAAATTTACCAAAGTATAATCTGACTAATATTTCAATTTCAAACACATAAGAATTTGTAGTCCTAATTGATATTAATTGTATTGTAGAATACCAAATCAATTTTAACATATGAATCTTTCAACTCAACATGAAATCATCATTGCTTGCAATAACCACAAACCTCAAAAGTGTGAAAAAAGATTGAAATACCTATTCCAGATATCCCACTGAAGAGGTCAAAATTTTTTTTAATTGTGTTTTTGAGCGTTTCAACCGAACTGGAAGTCGGAGGGATGAAGGACTGTTTTGAGAAAAACATATATTTTTTAGTTTTGAACTCCTTAGAAACTTTTTTTTTGAAATACTTTCATGAATATCGCTTCAAACTGATTGAAGAGCATCTTTTTTTTGTAATTTTTTCAAATAATTTTTTTTTTCAAATTTTGACATTCACTTTTTTGTCTTGAAATTCTCGCTTAGTTTTTATTATTACAGAATATCCTTTTTCACTTATTGTAAGAGTTATATCATTACCTGGGAGTGTGCAAAGTCAGTTTTTAAGACATTAGCTCAAAGAATGCAATAATTTCTAGTTTCTACTCATGGAATCCTTATCATATTATGATATATAGCAATTCTCAAGCAACTATGCGATTGAGTGGTAATCTGAATTTACAAAGCTCTTATTACCATCAATGCATACAGCAATGAAGTGACTTACCGGTATGTTAAATCTAACATCAAAAGCAAATGACAAATTACATGTCGCACCTATGATGATGAACATTGAATAAGGATTGTTGAAAATATGTCATTTTAATTATATGCTACTTAAAATCAATCATTTCAAATGCACCTTATTATTTAACAAACAGACAGATTACAATAGATTGATCAAAAGAGTGCATTATCGTTTACCCAACTCTGATTAAAAATACTAGGCCTTCAGGGCTTAATGATAATATTATGTGATCAATTATATTATAATCCTGTAATATAGTCAGCCATAATCACAAACGAATGACCAGAAATTATGATACCCTATTGCAAATCTATAATTCATTCATTTGATCAATAGCAAAATTCGATATTAGTTTTCAAATAGGACATCACTTGATGAAAAGTGAAGTGTTTTCTAAAAGGTGTTTACTGTTTACCAATACTTCAGAAACTGAAAACAAAAGTTTAAATGACAAATTCAGCACGATGACATCACTATAGATTTGTATCTCACTTGAATGCTATTTCTGTTTGACCACAATCTGGCTTTGATAAATTGGAAATCTGATACAATCACAATATATAGAAAATTTAGGTTTGGAATAGAAAACTACATATTCAAACGGATTCATTTCAAATTTTCTATAGCTAGTGAGCGATCATACAAATTTTCAGCATTTGTTTGGTTTGTATCTATATTTTGTCCATCTGGCCAAATTAGGAAATATTCATTAATGAAGCACAACCGGCATATCAATAGCAAATAACCCCAAGGAGTGGCCCAAGAAAGAAAAATTCAATATTTGATTTGATGTACTAGTACAGGCAATATAATCGATTTTGCAAACATGACTACAGACAAACTTTATAGCACACATTTTCTGGGACTCAACTACTAAGCTTTGCAAATTTTTCTTTCCTTTCTAAGACGGTGGAATATAACATATAGAAACGATCAAAAAACAAAACAAAAAATAAACAATATTTTAGCCGTAGACAACACACAAAAAAGTTGATATATTATAGATATCGTATTACCAAAAAAAAGATAATTATTTGGAGGAAAATATTAATACATTTTGAATAAATATGTTTTTAATATTGTAAAAAATATTACCCAAACTAAATAAGTGTGAACCACATAAAGTAGCAGGTATAATCATATAAACAATAAAAATTGAAATATGCCTTTTCACTTCGTAAAAATATATTGTATCATTACAGAGAACTTTACCATAGATGTGTTATTTACCGATAATTTATTACCAGTCACATGGAGCAGCTAAATAGGACTGATTCATTTCTAAGCTAATGACTCCAGAGCAAATGATTAATAATAAATGAATGCGAGATGGACAAATAGTATTAAACCACCAATTGATTTACTTTAATTGTACTTAAAAATTGAGTCTAGCGCTTCACTAGACTAAAAGTCTTAGATATCTGATTAAAGAAAATTGCTGCTAACCCAGAGTTATTTCGTTGCTCGCGCTCTCTGTGCCATTGCATAGCTTCTTCATACGCTTTAAGAACCATATCCCTTACCGCTTCCAATTTCTTTTTTCGTACGTTTTCACATTTAACTGTCATTGTTGCAGAATGTGTGTCATTGTTCACCTTTTCTGTAACAACGAATTCGCAGTGTTCTCCGTTCACACATTCATTTATTGATAATGAGGAGAGCATTGAGGTTGCTGATAATTGGTCATCATGGCCATTAGAATTGCAACTACGCCAGTCATCAGTATCATACAGAACAGCTGTTTGGGTATCTGTACCATTACCTTCAATATCTGAAACATTATTTTCTATATTTCGTGAACGATTGGCGGTCCAGTTCACAGCTTTCCCTTTTTCCGGTATCCAACAGCAACTATCATTGATATTCATGATTGCAGTGGCGTCACGATGCTCAGTGGAAACTTCATGTTCGGCACTACCATTAGTCATTGAAGGAAGTTCAGATTGAAAGGTTTGAGATTGTATAGTTTGGTTTGAACAATTATGATTTTTCATTTCGTGATTACCATTAGTAGTTGGATGATTATTACCATTCATTACAGGCAGACTTTCTGTAACCTTCTGGCAATGTGTCACCATAGAATACTCCTCGCTGGAAACATATTTTAAAAAATCGAAACAAAAATAAAAAATTTCTTCACCACTTGGAATCCTGCTAGTAAATTGATGACCGAAAAGCAGCCAGTCGTATGCTACAGTGAAGTATGCCATTTCCTCAGCGTTTAGAGACTGGTGGGCAAGGCCATCTGCCCACAATGAAAGCCTCACAAGAGAAACAAACAGTGGTGTACGATCCCATCCAGAAATGCAATGCAACAAAATACCCGTTGAGTTATCACCTATCAGAGAATGCAGATGCAGTTTCAGATAGTTTTGAGTTAATTGAACTAAATCCCAATTGATATATTCTTGCCAATTAATATTCGATAAATATTGAACGTTATCAGGCATATGTAGGTTTGCATCCACAAAATCCTGTTTCCAGTCAAACATAAGTCCTTCGCCGGAGTAATTATGGTTACGGTATTCAACGAAAAACTCACAACCAGGATAAGGCACACTTAAAAGATTGAAATGAAGGTATCTTCGTTGGCGGTCAACTTTTTCAGAAGAAGTTACATTCATACCAAATTTAACTTTCTTATTCTCAACCATTAAATCAAAAATTGTGTCAACGTCGAGATAACGAAGAAGCTGAATGTCAGCATTTCTCATTTTATCAAGAAGCCATTCTTTGCTCTTACCATCTTCCGAAGGAGAATCATCAATTATTTGAGAATTAGAATGACTTTCTGAGACATTATTAACACCATTGGTATACAGGCCATTGTCAAAATGATTTTCTTCAATAACAGCCTTTTCCTCATTTGCACCTTTTTCAACAGTGTCCATGTCCATAGATTCTCCTTTTACCCAATATCCATAACTTTGCCTACAATATATTTCCGGTGACCTAGCAAGAGTCGAAGATCGGCAAATATATTTTCCGTCAAGTAAAAGCACAGGAACAACAAACCTCCCCCTCGTTCTTGCAAAACGTCCTTTCAGTACATATTCTGATAACTTTCCAACCTTTTCTGATGATTTAACTGGAATGATAATTTTCTCAGGGTATGTGCTACACAAATGACCATCAGGATTATTCAAAACTTCACAGGTATAATCTCGTTCCATAAGTTCATGACAAGTTTCATAAGCTTTTGACAACATATCAATATCTCCATTTCCCGGTAGATTTTCATTGCTACCAGATATTGCAAATGATAACAAAGGAATCAACCGACTTTCATTGTCCGCCATGACAAGACTAGTATTACACAAACTGTAAATTAAATACATTGTGTAAATAATAACTTTAACAAGTTGAAACGCAGAATAATATAATTGATGCTACATTCTATTGCCTGACATCTCTGGTGAGATAACCAGCGCAAGAAAGATGATGTAACAAGAGATACAGTTCATCATATACTTTAATAAAGTAACAATATACAAGGGAAATTTTATCATCACATGGCTATATGAGAAGTTAACGTATCATAAAATAATGAAGAACAGTCAATTAGAAACAGTAAAGAGTGGGTCATTGGAGACCTGTAACAAAACCTCAGTCAAATCAAAGTCGTTCTGTTGTTTTTTGTCATGTGAGCTCAGGGCAAATTGAGTCATTGGTTTAAATCAGTGGTTCTCAACCTTTTACTTGCCGCGTACCACTTTCGAGTTTCTTACCCTGGCTGCGTACCGCCGACAAAACCCCATTTGTGGTGGGGACAATGGCACAAGAAACACGCTATGGTAGTATTTTATGTGGCACTACATCTATTTTCAGACCTTCATGCAAGTTGCAAGTATTAATTGTATGCAATAACAACGTTTTAATTGCGTGCAAAATTGCGTCATCAACCGTTAAAGCTGAAATGCTTTAATCACTGCAAAACGAATCGAATTAGGGCAAAACTCGGACGAATACACTTTGGTCGTCACTAGCCGCTATCACGAACTGCCTAACCTAGTCTCCAAATTTATTTAACCCCAAAAACTCAAGATTATGCTGATCATCCAACACATACATCAAGTAGCAATAGTAGCATCCTGGTAACCCAATCCTATAAACCCGTTCAGCGAATACATTTAGTATGTACGGTAAGATAAAGAGAAATTGTTTTCGCCATATTTTAGCCAACTCAGAAGTTAATTGTTGCAATAATTCAAAGCTGCTCGCGTACCACTTAAAAATCTCCCGCGTACCACACTGGAATGAGTACCACAGGTTGAGAACCACTGGTTTAAATGGACATGAAATAAAATAATTTCTTCAAGTGGACACAATCTTAAACATTTTATAGCTCTGTTGGTATAGTTAGCATATTCTCTTAGCATGTAAATCCCACACTTATCAGCCCCATGTGTGTTTTCTTTGAAGTAAATTAAGGGTGGAATTAGAATGCAATTCGACACTGTGTGCCAACAAAGGTCAGAAGATTAATGGCATATTTGAAGTTGTTTTTGATATGAAGCAGTTTTATAGGGTTTGGTGCTAAATTGGCTGGAATACAAGGACCAAAATTTAGCAATTTCAGCTGTGTCCGTAAATTTTAATTGGCAAATCTGTATTACCATGATTTTGTCTGTATTTTGACAAAGCTCATATCTGTAATTTTGTTATAAGTATATATTCGACCCCATTTAGTCATCATAACAGATGGTAAAATAATTGATAAAACAAATAGGTAGAACTGATTACAGAATCAGGAGCGCAAACAAAAACTCTAGTAAGGTTTAACACAAACAGATTTTTGATTGAAAGATGTCGTCTAAAAAAGTGGTCCGTATTCTCTCACATAAAAGTGTTGAATTAATTTACCCATGTACATACACATACATAGTCTATATCCACAGAGACATATAGCTGTATGGTAATTTTTTTGCCACACCATATTAATAATTTCGTGGGAAATGCCAAATTGAATACAGAATTTTGAAATTAGTAAACAGGAGTGAAGGAATGTAAAGAAAAATAATCATTGAAAGATAGCACCATGCAGCCATACGGATTATCTTGATTATAGGCTATTCTCCTAACAGCCTAAGGCCAAATTGTCCAATCAGAATCGCCAAGTCGAGTTGGATGCATGAAGAGATGGGCTAGACATTTAGACAGCAGATCACAGTCCTCCCATTTCAAGATCAAGATGTCTCGACATTCACCTGACCTTCCCTGCTGTGAGGGCACTGGGACTCACAGCGTTTCTCTGTTTTAGCTCGCATGCAATAAAACACAGAAACGAGATACCGCTACTGTACCGGGCTGTTTTTTTCAGCAAAATTTCCATAAAGTTGAGAATAGATGTATATATAACAGCGCTACCAATGATAATTGAAATTGACAATATAGGGCGTTTCTTCGTCAAGATTGGTGCGATTGTGTGGCTCATCGTGGTAAGCATTACTGCATTAGGAATACGCTCGCCACCGCACCTCTAACTACTCTGCCTGGGTTCGCAGGTTCGAATGCCATACAGGGATAGTTATGATCGAGAGAATTGCTAGACTCCTCGCCGCCGTTGGGTGATTCATGTAACCGCTGGTTGGCTTCCTCCACCATCAAGTCCACGCGGGTCTTACTACTTCAGTACTTACTGAATCGAGCGCAGAAAAGAGGGAAACATTTTTCTTTCATTATTTATTAGCGTCCGTGAAATTTTAAAAAATTTGATGGGAAACAGTATACAGTGGTAGAGAATGATCACAAGTTTATATCAGTTATCTTCACCATCTTTAAATAACCCAACATGACGCACCCTAACCTGGTACACATACTGTGTTCAGGTTGTGCGCCATCTTGGTGCACATACTTCTGGAGCTCCAAAATTATTTTGATTTTGCTCATATTGCAGTATTGCGTCATGTTAGGTTGAAGATTACTGATATAAACTCGTGATCATTCCCTACTACTGTACACTGTTTCCCATCAAATTGTTTAAAATCTCACAAACGCTAATAAATGAAGAAAGAAAAATGTTTACCGGTACCGTACCGGTACCTCTCTTCGCGTTGTGTTCAGTCAGTCAGTACCGGTACGTAGTAAGACCGAGTCCATGCTTCCAAAAACAAGTAACTAATCCCATACCCGACATGGAATGGTACCGGTACCGTAACCGCTTACTTCTGTACTTTCCTCTCCCTCCCTCCTTCCCTCTCCTAATGCAGTAATGGCTTACCGTACTTTCCTCTCCCCCGGGATAAATATGTAAATCCTATCATATATGGCCGTTTCAAAGTATTGTCCGAAGTTTGGAACTGTCCGAAGTAGGCACTTTTACGGTAACAAATACCGTAGGGTACCGGTACTGAAATACCAGGGACTACCGGTACCGGTACGTATCAGACTATGGACTACAGGACTATGCACTGATGCAGCTTTATCATGGTTACCGGTACCGTACCGTACCGGTACATGTTCATTCGCGTGCAATAAAACGCGGTAAGTCATTGTTTTCTGTAATGGGCCTAGTTGTAGTCTGTTGATACGGTCCCGCTGATAGTCAGAAATGAAAAATTCGACAAACCCACTTCGCAATCGACAACCGCAAGCTGCTAAAGCTAGCCGGTCAACCCATTCGACTTCCGCGTTTGTAACGTCATATCGAGGGGAGATCCCAAAGCAGCAATACATAGCGATTGCATCAACTAATACAACCGAAATATAACGAAACCTTCCGACAGATTTGGTCAAAGGTCGTTGGAATGTTTTTTCTTTCATGAAATGCGTAAAGGTTACATTAGCGATAAAACTGAATTAATGTTGACTAAATATATTTTTGCTTAGTAGTATATAGTATAGCAATTTCCATAATATATAAAATTGAGGAAGGAAAACCTTGCGATCCTACCAAAACATGCAAGTGGGGCAAAGATCCCGGATAATCACGATCCTGAAATTTTAGCTCATTTACTTGTTAAGCTTACCATACGTCCCGGTTTAGCCGGGACAGTACTGTTTCTGGCGAGCTATCCCATTGTCACGTCCAATGGACCAGTCGTAAAAAATTCTTTTTATTCAATGCACCGTGTTTCTCCGAAAATAAGACCTACCCTGAAAATAAGACCTAGCCTGAATTTTGAAAATGATTTTAATATAAGTCCTCCCCAACGACTAACATACCGTCCTCCCCGTAAAATAAGACCTAGTGAATAACGCGAATTTTTTTTTGACCTAGTCGATATCTCTTCTACGCGTTTTAACCCTTTCCATGCGATTTTTATTTTTTATTAAATAATCGTATTTGCTACGCCGACTTTATGCATTTGTACCCCCACAACTAATCGATCGACTAACGAAAAAGTAATGATCCTCTGCTGCCCACTGACGGCTTGTTGGAAAGCTTATTTAAAGAGCTTGCAATTGGCGATTAAAAAAAATTTTTTTTTTAAAAGGGGTGGTCTGAGTCACAAACCGGATAGAAAAAAGGCATTTTTTTTTCTTGGGTGTTGAAACTTCAAACCGTGATAAAAAATAGAAATATTTGCTAAATCCTTTACTGTTACCGCTTCTTGGTTGGCAAACAATGCATAATATTGCTGTAGCAATTTCGTTATCTAACTCAAAATACTTTGGTAGATGGAAGGGATAATTTGTCTTCTATCACTACCCAAAAAACACCGAAATTTGCATAAATTCCAAAAACACTCCATCGTTCCTCCGCAAATAAAACTCCCATGGTAAACGAAAGCGAGATTTATCGTCGCTTATGTTAATCTCGAAGAAGACTTTTTATCAATAAACTAAAACCCGGAAAAACTAGACCAACAGTTTGCGACCGATTGCTAAATAAAACAGTGGAGTACATCAACGTACCCGCCGCAATCTAGCGAGTTTTGTCGTGGGTACGTATACGTGCCCACCGCACGGAAAGGGTTAAACTGAATGATTGATAATAATCGATGTTTTGCAGTTATTTTGAATAAAAACGTTTTATTTATAAGTAAAGGAATATCGGTTTCCCTATTTTGTATATATGAAAATCTCGTAATTCTACTTTGTAATTTTGTTTTTGATGAATGCAAATATAAGACATCCCCCGAAAATAAGCCTTAGTGTTATTTAAAAAAAAAAGTGAATTTTAGACCCAGTCTTATTTTGGGGAAACACGGTAGGCAACCGATTTACCACTGATTTGCGACTTACTTTACTAGTTAATTGCGAGAACTTGATTTCTTAGCATGCAACTGACAGACTTAACCTGGTAAAAAAAAACTTGAATAAATAAATGTACAATTATTGAAACACTACTGATAAATTGACTGACCCAGAATAGCGTCACACAAAATGACGGTGAAGATGCCTGTTTTTGCCAACCGAACGCAATAAAAGTTTCACGCCGACTAGTATGTTTTATCCCAATTATAATTTCTGTGGTCGAGTGTGGCCCACACCTAGCCTACTACCATTCTGAGACGTCCCTGACTTTAATTCAATTTAATTCGTTTATTGGCGCTCCAGAAGTGTGTGTACCAATATGGAGGTAACTAATTTTGTTCGTCTTTTGAAACCTATGGGAAGGGGTATATTCACTTGGCTAACATAGAAAGTCCCCATCGTGGTCCATATCATATAACACAAACAAATCATTGTAAATAATTTTGTTAAATTCCATATAGACTACAGGTTTGTGCTATTAATTCCACGCTTATAGATATTGTTTCCATAAAAGTTACGCTGTCACGCGATTTAATTATCCGTTGAAATAAAGGGCGGTTTGCAACACTAGTGGCACGATTGCGGTCTGATTTTGTTTCTTGGGCGAAATATAATTCAACTTATATCCAGTGGTGGGATTCAGTTGGCACGCACCAGTTCTTAGAACCGCCTCACGGAATTTTATGAGATCAGCGAACCGGTTAGCATTACTGGTTACTGTCAATGTTCTGTTTGTTCTGAAAAATATGATATTTGAGAGGGAACGGCTGACAAAAAAATTGAATCCCACCACTGCTTATATCCTATCTCATCGTCCGCATTTTGGTAGTGTACGTTTCTAAAATTCGAAAAATGGGATTTGGGTTAGAACGTGATAATATCTGTTTTGTGTACTTTCTGAAGTATTGAACTGGGGAAAAAGGGTTGATTGACAACCAAGCGTCCAAAGCTTTAGTCCTGGCACCATCTTTCTACGACTTTCTGAGAAACCAGGTAAATATACGGACTGTGGTTCCAGTCCCATTGTATGTCCCTTAAAATGGCAAAATAAATATCTTGAAAGTTTTTTTTATCAACCTAGCTTGATGTATCTTTTTGTCCATCTTTGCCAAAATGAGTGGAGAATACTCCCGTTTTATTAGCAGCGAAATATCTCAATTGAACACCACCGCACTAAAGGCACCGAGTTTATCAGCTAGTCGAATTCTACCCATTGAGGTTTATAAGATTCTATCCAATCTTGAGCTTCTGTGTCCACTTCATGTGGTACACTTTTTACAAAAACAAACTTTCATGTTTCATCTGAACTGAATTGATCAGCACGCTATTGTATACCAGTAGTGAGCGCCTTGAACCAATGTACACCTGTAAATTCAGATACACTACAGTATAGTTTTCTTGATAATTCGAGTCACTCATACACTTGAAAACACAAAACGGACCGCTGCGGCCTTTTTCAGATCTTGTATCAGCAGTGCAATATGCATGGTGGTGATTCGTAAATAACAAGTCAAAGATAATAGATTTTTCTTTCTATCGCATAAGTACTGGCTCAATCATTTCAGCCCGAATCAGGAGTCCTTTCTCCGCAGTTTTATTTTTATTCTATTTTTCTTTTATTTAACTCTGTCAATCGACGAATGAAAGGTAAACAAGCAGTCCGACCTAGCTAAAGGTAATTAATTATCTCTTAATTACTTCAATCGAAAATTTATGCTTTTTTATAATACTACAAAAGAAACATGTTGACGCTTCAAGCTCTTTTAGGAAATAAAAATTGAACAAGTGGATAGTATAAAAATAAGTGGGTGTCAGGATTGATGATAATCTAGGCTAAAATTCCCATACTAACCCACTGGTCAAGAATTTATCGCAAACGGCTGGGACGCATTTTTAATTTCAAAACGCTTAAATCGGTTCCTTATTATAGTTTGTTTCACCCACGACTGCAATATAAAATTCTTAGTAAGGGTCAGCGACAAAATTCGTCATTACAGTCAAGTAAGTTTTACAAAATCAAGTTTTAAGGTGGGCTACATATCGTTTTCAGAGAAAGTTTACTGTAAGCATGAAACTTTGCAGAGGATGGAAATGTATCCAATGAAAAAATGCAAAATCTATGCGTCGACATGAAGATGATCTTCAAAAGGGCCTTTAATCACTATTTTATACTTTCAAATAATGTTCATAAATATGATATCCGTCTTAAAATTTAGGTTTTATTTCACGACACAGGTTTTCCTTTCGGAGGGAAATATATTTAAAATTCAAGAGAAATACAATTCAAACAAGAGAGCTACGCCCAAATATATGGACACGTCTGTTCGCAGTACAGTACGGTGTACCGTTACTAGCGTACCGTCAGATCACAGTCTACAAATATACTCACACCAAGCGAAGCAGTACAGTAGGACACAAAATGGCGTCCGATGTCCGCAGAACGTTTAATGACGTCATAGCAAACAAAAACAAAATCTCACAGAGCTAACAGGTATATTTAAAATGAATAAAAGTAATAGCCTTCTGGGGAAAAATTTTATCTTCAACCACTGAAAATTTCAAAGCAATCGGTCCAGTATTCGAAGAGAAAAGCGGATTTTTAATATTTCCACTAGGTGTGTTATTCTGTGTCAAATAACAACAAGAACATAAACAACATAATATTGAAACCATCGTTATGTTCACTACGTGTCCAATAATGTTGTCCAGGTGCTGGGTGCTGTATTGAACGCTATCTGAAATCAAAAATTCATCTCATTTTCACATTTCATTATGTGCATTGAAGTGTAATTTCAACTGCATGTATATAGCCTTCAAATTATATACCCTCCCCAGAATGAATGTTTTTGTCCTCAATACAATTTACTCAGTGGTGGGATTTAAGTTATTTGTCAGCCGGTTCCATCGCAAAAGTCATATTTTTCAGCCGGTTCTGAATTGGTGCGAACCGGCTGAATCTCACCACTGAATTTACTGCTAATGGCTGACTTTCTTTTGTAATAAAACAACATCAGGATTTTTATTATTGAATCCTTACTAAACAGCGCCAAGGCGGCTAATTTGGAGTGGAAGTGGTGACTCCTCTTCGGCCCATGGGCCGGGGCCACGGCCCATCAAGTTGTGTAAAGAAACTATTCACTTGGCTAACACAAACAGTCCCCAAACTCATAATAGAACTATAATGTAAAAAATCTGAACAAAATTTTGCCCTAACCTTAACCTGGTACACATACTACAGGAGTTTATTTTTTGGTTCGAATATTGACAATTTTGTAAAAATTGAAAATTTTGGTAAGATAATTGAATTTTTCCTGACGGGGTGGCCTAATTATGTGGCCCAATTAGATGGGCCGTGGCCCCGGCCCATGGGTCGTAGAGGAGTCACCACCCCTGTAGCTAATTTGACCTCCTATTAAACAGGTTGAGGAATTTAAGCCTGATAAACTTTCGGGCTCAGTAGCCTGCCCGCCCTGCCGAGTGCCGACAAAACGATGACCGCTAGAAGTTTTGATATGGATATGATGCATGTCCGATCTCAAATGTTACATGACATACATTGTCCATGGTCCGATCAAGATGGCATTGCCCTTGTCATGTTTAATCAAGCGTGTAGATTGACTCGTCACGTGACACATTGACTGTCGTTTTCACTATATTTTTGGAAAGATTGCTTTGTTTCGGTTTAATCTGGGGTACGGTGTCTGTGCGATAATGCAACGACAGCTTGAGTCACGCCCTGTATTATGTTTAGTACCACTGGAGGACATCCACTGCTAAAAGTAATTTTCAATAATGCCACCTTAGTATCAAAAGATGAATTTAACGATAATTTAGTTTACCACAAATCTGTCGTATGGTTTATAACGTTGACAACAATCCGACAATTGCCAGATTGCTGAGTGAGCCAAAATCTGAAGCTGCATTTACTGCGGATACTCGAAATTTTTTGGTATAGTTTAAATGGCAGTTTGGTGTCATTACCATAACACAGTACCGTAACATTTTTATGTCATTGAATAACAATTTTGCAGTTTTGGTTAACTGCTGTCAGAATATCCTCAATCAAAGTGACTGGTAATTGTTATCACATCTCAGTCTGTTGGCCCAACAGTCTGCGATGTAGTAAGTTGTGATATCTTTATATCCACGGGTTGTTGAATTGAATGGCTAAAGGGTAAAATGTATCGGATTACAGGATTAGTGAAAACTGGAAGTGAATCGTATTTGATTTTTATTAATATGTCTTACATAACCATACATGGATAATATGTTTGGAACAAAACGGTTGGTAGTTTGGAGCAAACGATTCAACTTGCATATCTAAAACTTTGCTATTGCGTTAAGCTGCTAAATTTTTTCAAAGTTTTGCTAAATAATCTCAGAAACTGCCATTTTGAATTTGCAGATTAAGCTTTATTATTCCTTTAGGCAATTGTAATTCTGTAGAAATTATAATTCGTATGGATCATAATTGAATATTTAAAGATAGTTTTTAAAGCTGTAAAGTTAGATCGCCAGTAAAGTAAGAAAATACTGCAGTATCAGAGTATCGAGACAACTTTCGGCATGCAGTGAAAATGGTTTTATCATCAAGACAACGAGATGAGCTGTAAGTTCTTGAGATTTCATGTTCTATAACCTGAGTAAATCTGCAAAAAATTGCGAATGAATAATTCTGATCCAGGACTTCAACCTACAGACCCAACTGGCTAAAGAAGTATCCGACATACTTCTTGCTTTGATACTTTTCAACTCTTTTAGTCTTAAAATCCCAGTATAGTAATTTTGATCTAATAATAGATCTAATGATCTACTAAAATAAATTAACTTGAATTTGCATAAAAATGGCTGTAACATTTTTAATCCTTGTTACGTTCTGTCTGTGGTAACATTCTGACATTTGTGTGATAATCACTCTCGCTTCAATTACACAAATAATGATATTTTCAGAAACAATGCCATATCAGAATATCTCCGATCAAATGGGTATGATAAAGCCTTCAATGCCTTCCGAATGGAAGCCAACTTGGTAAGTTTTCTTATTTTCAATATTTTATAATATAGATAATTAAAAAGTAACCTTGATAACATGAGTTTTCCACATGATCATTCGAATTTTGAAGTCCCAGTGCATGGATTTAAAGTAATAGTATTGCAGTAATGTAGTAATGAATATTGCTACCAATGGGTCAGAGGAACTGGAAAAGGTAAACAAAACTTGATAAGTCTAATCTAATTAGTTGTTTGATTGTATATGTTTGTTTCTTAGTCCCAGTGTGGATCATCTCATTATGATTTGGTATTGCTAGTTGGCCTTTGAATCATGAGCTATTTTTTTTTTTATAGTCTGAAAATATTGACAAGAAATATGAAGGACTCATGGAAAAGAAATGGACATCTGTTGTTCGTTTACAGAGAAAGGTAATAATCAAGAAAGACCAAAATAATGATTTAGGATTCAGAATCTATTTAGCAAAATAATTTTCAATATGGAATATCAGATAGGATCTTCCACACAACAGTGAGTTCACTGTTTTCAAGTCATTATTCATATACTTTGACATTAAAATACAGAAAGATAGAGATAAAAATAGTGTTGATTGGTTAATTTAATAATAATATTGCCTAATACTTAAAAGAAACATATCTCAAAGAACAATATTCTCACCGGTAATCCTAAATTCGAATCTACTGGTATTTGGATCTTGCTTTGGATATCCCTAGTATTGTTTAATATTTTTGAATTCTCATTATAGTTTTGATGATGAGCAGTTGTGGCCGCATTTAATCACATACTGTGTTGATGTTGCAGATTTTTTCATTGCCGTATAATTTCAAGTTCTATTTTAATATCTTAATCTTTAAAATGTTCTTATATTCAGGTCATGGATTTGGAATCCAAATTGAATGAATTAAAAAATGAAAGTAGAGATGGAATTGTACCAAGAGATAGAAAAGATCCGGCAGAATGGATACCACGACCACCGGAACGTCACTCATTAAGCGGACATCGAACACCGATTACAAGAGTAGTTTTTCATCCTGTGTATTCAGTATTTGTATCTGCTTCTGAGGACACCACAATAAAGGTCAGCTAAAAGTTTTCAATATTTGTTTAATTTTTTCTAGTGATTCAAGTCTTGCTGCTTACTATCACAAATATATTTCTGTAACGTTTCGTTCCAAGTGCTGAGGAAGTATTATATGCATACCTGAGCATAGAAGAAGGATGAGTAGTTAGTCCCGCAGAAACCAAATCAAAAGCACATTAATAAATTATTGCTTTTTAATCTTACAATTGTAGTTGATTCTCTTGTTTAATAATCATAACGAAAGTGAATTATCATGAATGGCCAAAATCTAATAGTTTATTATCCCAAATAATATATATAATAATATTCTTGAATTTTGAATATATTCTTCATTGTTGGATCATGTTCAACAGAGAAATTTGCAGAAATCAAATGTACAGAAATGTGCGAATTTATTGAAATTGAATTAGGTAATACAGAATATTTAAGATAAGCACTGCTCACATTGATAAAGGTTTTCCAGTGATGGAAGGTTAAAGTCTATTTACGTCCGATCATCAAATGTCAAATGCTTAAAATAAAAATAAAATTTAAATATGTATTTTCTAACCATTCAGATCACAGATCACACATTTATTTATTATATTGAATCTCAATAATTTCAAATATATTCGAATTGTTTCGGATATCCTTGTTTCCAATTTTTGTCTTCTCGGTTATATTTAGCAAATACTATTTTTCTTCGAATTCATTTACTTCATCCACAAAAAAGTATTCTCATAATTTCTATCATATTTCTTTCTCTAAGCAAAATCAGTAGGGGTTTTCATGATTAATATATCTAACATTTCAAAAGATGTCTGAATTTCCTCATATATACATTCTTATGTGCTAGGTAAGGAGCTACCATAGATTGAGGGACCAGAATCTTTCCATTTTGGCATTGCTTTTCCAATTTATTACACTCTGGGTGAGATGGTGGGCATGGGATTTTAACCCAACATTTTCACCTGAGATGCCACCAAAGTATAATCTAAAAGTAAAGTTAACCTTACCTTTGTAATTTTCAAACAGTTTTAATACAATCTCATTTAAATTTTTGATTATATTTATTCAGGTATGGGATTATGAAAACGGTGATTTTGAAAAAACATTGAAAGGACACACAGATTCTGTTCAAGATGTTAGTTTTGACAGTTCAGGAAAACTTTTAGGTTAGTATCAATTTTGATATGACTTGATTCACCAAAAACAAAGATCGTCTTACCCCCAGTAGGTCAGTTTACACAATGGTTTGCTCTGCTCTTCACATCATTTACAATTTAGAAAACCTATGAGTGGTTTGTCACGTTTATTTGAGTGCAATAGTTGGCGTTGTTCAGACTGTATCAAAATTGAAATATACAATCTGTTGGAATATCATTTGTATCCAACATTTGGACTCAATGTATCTAGATTTTACTTTTAGTAATCTATTTCCACCTTGCTCGAATACTCACATTTCACATCAAAAGAGGTTGACAGCCTTTAATTCTTGTACGTTGGTCATATCAACTTTCCAAAATTTGAATATAAATGAATATAAAGAAATTCAACAAGCATTAAAATTTAATTTTTTTTTACTGAGGTCACTTTTGGTGTGTGTCTACCTAACATTTGTTTCAGAATTCCTGTGTATGTATGTATTAGTATTAGCACTTGATAATACTAGCATTTTCAAATCCTTTATTTTTTTTAATTTGGCTTATGTACATACTTAGCTAAATGACACCCTTTTAAGTTCATGCCTTCCTTATAATACAAATTACCTTGTATTTTAGCATCTTGCTCTGCTGATATGACAATCAAGATTTGGGACTTTGACGCTTATGAATGTACAAAAACTTTACATGGTAAGACATCAGTGAAAGTTAATAAATTTTTCAGTTTTTTTAGATCCTATCATGATGTGATATATTTGAAACTAATTATGTATTCAAATACATTTAGGATTTGGTTGAATATTGGTTATAAAGTTGAAGTCATTTGAAGTTGTTACAGTTCACACACGGAGTTGGGCAAAATCCGAAAATCCTTTTCGCAAAACGCCGCATTGAAAAAAACTATGTACTGTTTTTAAAAGACCATATTATATTCTTACATTTAGTATAATATCCCAAATTAAAGATTCGTAAAGAAATATATTAGATGCCACTTGCTTCCAGTTAATATTCATGAATAAAATAATGTCAATGCGACTGATGTATTATTTGATGACTGACATCAATCAATTTATGAATCAATGCGAGAAGTGAGATTTACTAATTTTCAGAACTGACTGCGGATTTGGGTCAGTAATAAGATTTCTCTTATTCTGTTCTGTGAGAAATTTTCACAATATAGTCTCAAATTAAAGGGGGCGTACAAAATGCTTTAATACTGTGTTGTAATTTAACAATTGTATCATGAATTGAAATTGGCAAATGGTATATTTAAAATCAGATAAGCAGTCAGACTTATGTCTAGTCATATATATATTCCACTTCTTTTCTCCTCCAAACATGACTTACTACTATATTATGTAATCAATATCCAAGATTTATAAATAGTTTCAATATTTGAGCCTTGGCCGGCCCCGATATTCTTCAAATTATGCTTACACTTTGAAAATCTTGTTTCCACGTAGTACCTTTAATCATATGCATACCTACATCGTGAATTGGTGTTTGAAATAGATACCATTTGAAAGTGTTATAGACTATAGTAGAATTTGCCTGCACTATATGCCTGCTGAAAACACTCCCACCGTTAGTTTAAATTATTTATGTGAAAAGAGTTGTTTCTTGCATAAAGAATAAAAGGTGACGCAACTAACGTTAGGAATATTGTTTGCATGAAACAAGATCACAGTGTTTTTGATCTTCATAATAATTCCTATTTAAAAATTATATTTCGAATTGCCGGTAAGACTTTGTTAATAAAATTATGAATATATATAAAAATCAATTTCAAATCATAATTACTGTGCATGAAAGGTCAATTCAGAATAATAAAAACGTTAAAATTTTATTTAAAATATTATAAGGTACTCTGGAATATTGTAAGGCAAATAATTTTAGTTTCCAATTCAAATGGACTGATTTCACTGAATTTCAACTTCACATTTATGTATTTAATTCTTACGGAAATTTCTAGGTAACATATGAATTTTTCCAAACCAAATCAGGAAAATACTGTTGGGTAACATAATTTGTGATTTATAACATTTAAAAATGGTGGATTTCTAGAAGAACAAGGTATATTAATTAAAAAGTAAAAATTGACGTTTATCTGAGGATTCCAAGGAGTTCAGTTCAAACAAAATACAAACCAAAAAAATTTCCATTAATTCTTACAGATGAAATTGCTATTTTATATAAAATTTATTGGTTTTGCAGTGTAGTTATTTACAAAAATGTTATGTTTTTTATGTAGCAGGCTAGGGTTCCATTACATTTGAACCCCAGACAATTGCACCGGCATACTATTGCACCTATTGATTTTTTTGTTTTACGGATATTTGAACCCATACTAACCCTAACCCATGGGTTTTAGCACCCGCATATAAACTGAACCCGAGAATATACACATGGGTTCAAATGTACGTGGGTTCAAATGTACGGTCACTGTGAGGCGTGGGCTATATATAGCTCTTTAAAGTAATGAACTATTTGGATATAAACATGTCCACAGGTTCTAGTATTTGTATTTTAATCATCAGAACCTGTGCATAAATAAGCCGAGTAACTTGGATGTCATTGAAATGTTGTCTTTCCTAGATAAGAGTAACCTTTTTGACCTTGTTAGACCATTAGCTTTCTTTGGAAGTAAGGGCTTTCAATCCTTTTGTTTGTGTATATTCGATTATGGATAGCATTGTACCTTTTCGAATTAAAATATTATTGTAGCAATGGTTTTTGTGCTTATTATGAATGAATAATATGAAAGTAAATTTATTTCGATTATATAATATTATATAAACAAATGGAAAACCTTGTATTATATGGATACAAGACAACCTTTAAGCTTTTATATTCTTTCTGAGTTGTGGGTAGATCAGAAACTAATTCAAATTACAGTGCAGTTTATGATATAAAATATGATATATAAAATTCAACTCAATAAATATCCTGAATAAATATTTTTGTTTTTTTTAATCGAAACAATTCAGTAAGGTGATTTTCTAGAATTGTTATATATTGACTTGAATTTCATAATATGGAAAATAAAAAATTCAACTTATCAGGTATTAAGAAAAATGACATCTTCCAAATAATAACATCCTACATTCTTTCACTATATCAGGTTGATTCTTTCTGATAGTGTAGTAGGGATAATGAATGTATTATGTTTATTGCATTAACATAATTGTAATTTCTATTGCAGGACATGATCATAATGTTTCATCAGTTACGTTTATGCCAAACGGGGATCACTTGATATCAGCAAGTAGAGACAAAACAATGAAACTATGGGAGGTTGCTACAGGGTATGGATTAAAAAAACACTTTAAATTCAAACATTTTTTTTTTCTATAACTATTCAAAATTAATTGAAGCAAAAACTAAATACATCGGAACCTTGATAGTCTGAACTAGGACTATTCTTAGGTACATTTTTTTGTGTGGCTTGGAGAATTGTGGAACCTCATTATTATGCATGTGATGGTATATTATTCAAAACTGTTCCAAACTCGGGGATGGACATATTTGAATAGAATTATATCTTTCCACATAGAAATATTCCAGATCATTGGTTCTCAAACTTTTTAAGCCGCGCCCTCTCAAAAAAATTGTCTTCGCCCGCCCCATCATTAATTAAAGAACCACTGTTTTAGATTCTTCTTAAAATAAAAAATTAACTACCGGTACATAGAACATAATTCATTTTGAATGTATTGAAATATTCGATTATTTGTGGACATCATTGGTTGCAATTCATGGATACGATTGATGAGGGTTTCTATAACCAACCAGTGACTGAAAGAGGTATATTATTCTTAGTGTGCATCACTATCTCTTGTGACTTTCCTCGCCAGTACGATGATGAACGTGCCTAACTTGACACATGGCCTTTCAAGAAAATAATAGTTATATTTCTTTGAAGGAAATCAATACTCTGCTTTCATTCTCAATATTTTTATTGTCTTAAGCTTATTTTTAATACAAGGCATCGTGTGTTTTTTGTTACTCAGGTATTGCATTAAAACATATCTTGGGCATCGTGACTGGGTTCGAATGGTTCGACCTAATGTTGATGGAACTTTACTTGCCAGCGCATCTAATGATCAAACGGTACGTCATTAATTGGAACTATTTATGTATTTGGAATTATTATCAACATATTTTAACACAGCTAATTTGTTATGTAGACTCAAGAATGCCAAGATAGCATTTCTTATTCATCTGGGGGAGATAGAATCGCTATCGCCCTGTTTTTGCTTGGCACTGGCTTACATCGACTTAGACCAAATGCATTCTCTGGCCCAATGTTAGTTTCATCAATATTATGATTTATGAATTGATATTTTAAAAATAGGTGAGAGTTTGGGTAACCTCAACAGCGGAATCTAAAGCTGAATTGCGGGAGCACTCTCATGTTGTGGAGTGTATATCATGGGCTCCGGCTACATCGTTTCCAAATATTTGTGAGGCTGCTGGAATTGAGGTGAGAATTGGTGAATTTTTTAAATTCGTTAACGTTTTGTTGTCATTAAGCCATCCATTCAATTTATTTATTGTATAAATAATTATGAAACACTTTGTTTGAACAAAACTCCGAATACTCCGAATTTTATCCGAATACTGTCTATGTACTATGGTGGCCCATCGTTGTCACGCGTAAAATTGAAAATAGAAATAAAAAATAAAATAAAAAACCGAAAATAAAAAAATAGTTGTGAAAAAACATAAAAATAATTGAAAAAAAAAATGATAAAAAAAATTAAAATTAAAAAAAAAAAAAATTGAAAATAAAAACGAAAAAAAAAGAATGGAAAAAACAAAATTAAAAAAAAAAAAAAAAAAAAATTGAATAAAAAGAAAATAAAAAGGTTGACAACGATGGTCCGCCTCGTGGCCCATCGTTGTCACGCGTTTTTATTTTTAAAAAATTTGCTTCTGCTTGGGACCAACGTTGTCAGGCATAATCCTACGCGCACAAATGTGTTCCCTGGGTTTCCAACTCACTACTGATTTTCTTGAGCAATATTCAATATGAAAATGTTCTATAAATTCTCCATGCTACAAGATCAACAAGACGTAATATATTTATAATAATGATAAGAGAATACAGAATTGAATACGAAAATTCGGAAAATTTGTTTTTACGTGTAGAAGGTAATTGAATTGGAGAATGCTGCTTAACTACTCAGTTGTCTGGACACTCGCGATGCCGGTACCGTACCGTCTTACCAAATACCGGTAGTCGGTTATAGTCCCTTTGCGTCTGACCGTACCGGTAGCCATGCAATCACTCACGAAAGAATGGGAGATACGGATAGTCTCGTAGAATATAGACTACTGAGACACTCTCTGCGCCTGCCCCATACTGTACAGCCGTAACGTACCGATCCAGACAAATGATAAATCGCCCGTGCTCAACCATTTATTTCAATCCATACCTCGATCCTAGTAGAATATAATGAGTCGAGGTATGAATTGAAATAAATGGTTGAGCAAGGGCGATTTATCATTTGTCTGGATCGGTACGTTACGGCTGTACGGTATGGGGCAGGCGCAGAGAGTGTTTCAGTAGTCTATATTCTACGAGACTATCCGTATCTCCCATTCTTTCATGAGTGATTGCATGGTCAGACGGTACCGTACCGGCATCGCACGAGTGTCCAGACAACTGAGCAGTTAAGCAGCATTTTCCAATTAAATTACCTTCTACACGTAAAAACAAATTTTCGTATTCAATTCTATATTCCCTTATCATTATTATAATTATATTGCTTGTGGTTGAACTTGTAGCATGAAGAATTTATAGAACATTTTCATGTTGAATTTATTAAATACTGCTCATGAAAATCAGTAGTGAATTAGAAACCCAGGAAACACATTTGTGCGTGTAGGATTAAGCCTGACAACGTTGGTCCCAAGCAGCATCAAATTTTCTAAAAATAAAAACGCGTGACAACGATGGGCCACGAGGCGGACCATCGTTGTCAACCTTTTTATTTTATTTTTATCTAATTTTTTTTTTTAATTTTTTTTTTTTCAATTTTTTTTTGTTTTTTTTTCGTTTTTTTTTCTAATTTTTTTTTTTAATTTAAATTTTTTTTTCCATTTCTTTTTTTTCAATTATTTTTATGTTTTTTCACAACTATTTTTTTATTTTCGCTTTTTCATTTTATTTTTTCATTTTTTTTTTAAATTTTACGCGTGACAACGATGGGCCACCATAATGTACCCACCAGGTGCAATATTCTTGGGGTATGCCTTACTACATCTCATCAACTTATCTTCAATTGATTAGTTCTCACAATTTCTATATTCAGACTAGAAAAGACTCAAAAGTTGGACCATTTTTGGCTTCTGGATCAAGGGATAAATCTATTCGTATTTGGGACGTTTCAACTTCACAATGTGTATTCGTACTTACGGGACATGACAATTGGGTTCGAGGTTTATCTTTTCACTCGAGAGGAAAGTATTTGCTCAGCGCCTCTGACGACAAGACTTTGAGAGTATGGGACATTAAAAATAAAAGATGTCACAAAACTCTTGCTGCCCATGAGCATTTTGTTACTACATTAGGTAAGTGAACATTATCTTTTTTTCCTTTACATATTTCGAAGTATTCAAATGTAGATGCATGGTGAAGGACAACTAGTACAACATGGTGTAATGGTTCTCAAACTAGTTCAATATCAATACCATGCACTCTTTAAGCATCTGGTTCGAAACCAGCTCAATCCAATTATGTTTGAATTCCACTATTCTAGAAACAATGACTGATGAGGTATTCCTCACTATTTGTAGCTCTTCACATTTTGATGGTCGCCCTTAACTTTACTGTGTGAGTGAGTACGCCTGTTAAGCGAATGAGTACGCTTGACCTCGCTTTGAGTAAATTGCTTTGAAAAACTCGTATTTTAACTTGTTTTATATTTGGTTTAAAAAAATTCAAATTTTTTTTAGATGTTCACAAAACTGCACCTTATGTTATAACTGGTAGTGTTGATCTTCTTGTCCGTGTGTGGGAATGTCGCTGACGTTTGTCGTCAGGTTTATTAATAATTTTTCCAAAGACATTTTCACCCACTTTTGACTGGACATTGACCAACTGGCACATCCTCCACTACTCCTTCTTTTTCAATGTCTCAACAACAGAAAGCCATGAGAGGTCACAGAATACCACAAGTGTGATGGTCGTAACTAGTAAGCCTGTCTTCGGGTTGAAGTTCATAGCATTTTACCAGTTGAATATTATGGCATTGTGATTTTCTATTATCAGTAAAGTTCCAATACCTCAGAATTTGACAAAGTAAAAAAGGGGAATTTATGAAAGAATGATGTGTAAAATAATACTGAAATTTCAGGTAAATCATAGAAGTAATTTAATGAACTGAATGGCAGGGTGTGTGTAATAATATATTCTAGATCAAGGGTTCTCGAACTTTTGTTGTTATGAAGCCTGCGAAGCGGTTGACTATTATTCACAGAGCTCCACAATAAATTTATAAAAATTAAAACAAAAAACACATTGTTACTTACCGAATAATGTTCCTGTGTATATTGAAATTTCTTTATTTAATGACCCGGATGTATTTATTGCTTCTTTGCAAAGTTACAAAATTAGTGAATCATCATTTTATTGGGTGAATGAATCGCTTGCGGAGCCTTGGGGATTGTCCCACGGCAAGCCCTGGGGCTCCGTTAGGATCACTTTGAGAACCTATGTTCTAGTAGATCATAATTAAAAAATTGATCTGTTAAATGGAAAATTTCAGAAAAAATACATAATTTTGACTATCTATACCTTTGCGATGGTTTCATTTCAAATTTCGTTTAAATCAAGTTCTATGAAGAAATTTTAGAAGTCTCAAAAAATGAGCCATCATCAGATTCTGTTTTTTACATGCCTTTCTAGTTCATTAGATTACGATCACGGTTTACTTGAATCTTCAAGTCTCTTTGTCTATGTATTGTAATGTGCATCAATATAGGCTCCTTTTTCCCCCAGATAGTTCTGTCCAAGCTCTCTGAAATTGGGTTTGGAATAAATAAACTTGAAATATTCACATTCGAGTTTGAATTAATTCCCGGCTTTCTATTGTTTCAAAATGAATACTTTATTTTCCATATTGTGTCTCTCAAGCATGATCATCCTAGATAATGGACACATAACATTTGAAACAAAATATTTTTCCAAGTTACGAAAAGTGCGTTCAGTGACTTTATTTTCCCACTGCGCAAGTGAAGTAAGTCCTGCTTCAATCTCTATATCTTGAGACAGGTGTTGGAAAAATAGGACATTTTTTGTTTAGAATACACTTCTGGACTATGTGTATTGGTTTCGGAGTCTTTAACTAAACTTTAGTTTTGGAGATGTGGTTTATTGCTGGAAAATTTAACAATTTATTTGCCATATATTTGAATACTATCTGAATGATTTGCCGGCACCATTGGCTCAGCTTTTTTTTCGATCTGGCAATGATGGATTAAGTCTCTACACAAGGTTGGAATTAATGATTCACAGATTACACTATAAGTAGTATACTTTCTTTCATTGATAAAACTGTTTCTTTCAGTTGTTTTATTCATAGAGAAATGTGCTTAATTCTAAGCTTGGTGTAATGTAAAGAAGTATTCCATTTTCATAGACCATTTCCTAAGCAATGGAAGTGAATGATTCTAAAAGTCGCTAAGTTTAGTGAATATCACATCTGGTTATATAGGCAAAACCTCCGAAGGTAATAAATTGTTGTGCACTACTACTGAAATTATCTAACACAATTTTACTTAAATATATTACTACTATTATTGTATTTATATTAAATGTGGCTGCCATTTTGGTCTTTCCGTTTACACCAAGGTTTTGACTAAAATTATGAGTGTTGGCAGTCAAATGTTGCCATCAATATAACCACTTAGTGACATTCATGGTAAAAATGTAATTCCTGATTAACCGGTTCGGACCAGTTGAAACTTGCGCTTTTCCATTAAAATCTCAAAATAAACAATGGCATTTTTCGATGTTGGTACTGCTGCATGTTTGTGGTTAAATCTAAATAAAATTAAATATATGTATGAACTATTGTATGTGCCGTTAGCTCTATTTAGAAATGTTGGTGGTCGCACCTGTAAAGTGAAACAGACTGATTGAATAATGGGGGTTGAATTTAAAGGAAGTCTAATTGGTGGTTGTTAATTTACATTTGTGAAAACATTGCACTGCTCATTGACGGCAAAGATCGCTCAATATTGATTTTTTTATACTGTACAGCAGGGACCATATCCGGAGTTCGATCGCTCACTAAGAATTACTAAACCAATCCTGCTTTGTCAAATAACGACTATGAGTGAGTTGTGACGCACATAGATTTAATATCTCGTATAAAATTAATTATAAGACTTGTCGTGATGAACAAGGGAGTAATGCTGAAATAAATGGGACAGGTGTTAAATAACTGATATGACCCACGCATTCCCAGCAAAATATAGGAGGAATTGTACCGATTTTCATATGACGGTGTTCCCGTGAATTATAATTGCCAAAAGTATTGGGTCCCCGAAGGACTCGTAGAAAATTGGAAAAAAAAAAGTAATAGCTTTCAAAGGAGTGAGCTTCATTTTAGCACTGAAAAATTGAAATCCATTGATCGCGGGCAAAATCCTATAGTTAGCAAACAGGCCACCCATTTCGTGCCCATTCAGATAGAGTGTTAGACAATTGTCAGTTTAGGACTGCGATACATTTTGCACTGCGTATGTGAAGCGTTATGCAATCGCCACGGTGACGTTTGCCCACTGTGTTGTCTAATAAACTCGTTGCAGCGTCTTGCAATTACCAGTACTGATGTTTATACAAGGGTCAAGTCATGTCCATCAATCTTATTGTCAACAATAGTAAAATTTGGACAAGACTATGTCACATGAATATGAGAATAAAAGGACTAAAGAGACGTTGACACGTAAGCCGTTTTGCCTCATACTGCCGATAAATCAAAAAACTTCGAAGGTTTTCTAACCTCGAACGGAATTTTCAAATCAGTGTCGATCGAAATGTGGTATATATATTCCTATTATTTATTCCTATAGCAAGTAAAAATGATTTGACTACGTGTGAACCAGATGGATGTCCTATTGAGAGAACGGCTTTGAAAATAGGGCTATTTCATCCTAAGTTAAGCTCATTTGCCTAGTGGTTTGACTTTCTTGTTCATTTATTTGAGCATTGTCCTTCTTCACATCTTCTATCCGGATATATTTAGCGCCAATCGACCATAAATGATAGCCGAGCTTCAAGTTGGAATCTAATTTGGGTTCAACATATATTATTACCAAATTGATCAAATCCCGTAAGGAGAAGAAGAATTTGTGGAAAATTACGTTTTTAACCAAATAAAATATTCAGATACTTACGCAAACGTAGTTGGGCATTTGTTTACGACCCCAATTCCCGAGCTACTAAATCTTCAGGTGATGGATAAAATCAAAAAATTGTAGAAAAAATGTTTTCCCAAATTTAAACGTCAAAGTGATTGCATTTCTTGGTTTTATTCAGGTTTAATTTCTTACTGACAGCCAAATTGTTGCAAAACATTATTTACCTTTAATACTTATCGCTTTCAACTTTATTTCGATATTGAAATAACCCACAATACATGCAATATGTATCTACTCACGATTCGAAAGCATGAAAATAGCAACTTATCAAATGAAAAAGATACAATATAAATGCAATATATATATGGTGACCGTACATTTGAACCCATGCGTATATCCACGGGTTCAATCTATATGCGGGTGCTAAAGCCCATGGGTTAGGGTTAGTATGGGTTTAACTATCCGTGAAACAAAAAAAATTCCGTAGGTGCAATAGCATACAGGTGCAATTGTCATGGGTTCAAATGTACGTGGGTTCAAATGTAATGGAACCTATATATATATACCGAATATTTATGATAATATTATATTCTTAATAATTTTAGTTAATCCTCAACAAAACAAAATGATTTTATACTGATAAAATGAACATTTACTGTACGTTGCATCAGACGAGGTACATTAGAAAAAAATATATTATGGCTATTATACGCCGGTAATTTCATGTTGAAATGATGAAATTGAACTAGGCCTGAAGCATCACCATTTCACGTCAGCGAGTATTTTTAAAAACATAGTTTTGTAGGAAAAGCACTGTGGTTATACACATACACGTCTCACATTTTAAATTTAATTTGAAGGTATTGCCCGATTTTATATCGTGTTTTTGTTTTATTGTTTTTCGACTATTTTTGGTGGACGGGCACGTACTTGTACGTTTTTAACTTTTCTATTAAGTTATGCCCGTCCTTTAGGTCCTCTGTAATTTGTTTGTCCGTTTGTTGTTGTTTTGTGTTTTGTTTCTATCAGAGTGACCAAATAAATTTGATTGATGATTGACGTTGACTTTTTGTGCCGCGGAGTAAGACCTTGGAATGTTTGTACTAGAGTCCGAGCATTATCCGTAATTTGAAACTTTCTTGAGTTGGAATCGGAATCGCAGACTTTCAATGGTGATAAAAAAAAAGTCAACATCATCTCAGAAATTCAAAAATCATTAAGAGTTCATAACAATCTGATTTTCTCGGAGCTGTGTAATATTCAAGGTCTTGAATCCAAGTAACACAGGCTTCAATTGCTCACAGAATATATTATATTGCATGAAAGTAAATAGAAATACAACATACGTCCGTCGCTCACCGAGAGTAGTTCTAGAATGTTCTGTCATGTGGCCTAAACTAGATCACCAGATGTACTCATATTATTACGTCATAGACCAAATATAAGACATAGAATATAGCAGTATTTCATGGACATTACATCCCTCCCTAACTTAAATCTGAAATTTATCACATTAAATTTCACTTGGGAATATGCATAACCTAGAACATTTCACACATAGCTGTCACAAATGTAAATCAAGTATAAGCAATATGTTATGACACTAGATAGTACTTGGCTAACCTAAAATTTCCATTCATGAAATATTTGTCTGAAATAGTTATCAAGCACACTTATGTATCATGCAATAAACTTAAAAATGAAATATAGTACTGTGATATTGAAAAGTTAACACACTACAATGAAATTCACTTCACAAAGTAATGAAATTATAACAATCAAAATTCAGGCATAATCAACTTTATACATAACAATTTATCATTAATTGACTACACCCCTTTTGTAAGTGTAACACAATCACAGTTCATTTCTTTTACACAGCTTGGTAATGTTTATATACAGTCTATTCATGTTTGATCAAGCTTGATATCATAGTTTCAAAAATAGTGTTAGTATTAGTAAGTCACCAAGCTTGATATTGCTAAACAGTCCATATTATTTATGTTTTCTCAGTACAGTCCTTGAAATAAATGTTCATTTATACAATTTATAATCTCTGAAGCGTTTAGGCAGTTTGATTGAACGCTTTGATTTGCGATGAGCCACTATCTCGTTATGAGGTTGATCATTTGAGAAACTAGATGAAATCTGCTCATCAGCTGGAGAATCAGATTCATTTGATGCCTCAGGAATTATATCAGCAGCCACTTCCATTTCATCTGATATTTCAGGAACATGAGTCTGAAATTGTCGATCATTCACCTTTTTAAACTGAGATATATTTCTGGTTTTGTTACCCAAACCAGGACTTCTTGCAGTAACCATACTTCCCTTCACAGCAACAACAGTCATAGGCTCTGGGTTATATGCTGGAGTTAACTTGTTATATCTTCTTTGTCGAACCAACACCATGTCACCAATATGCAGTTGAGAAGCAGGTCGTGTGCAAAGTCTCTTATCAGCATACCTTTTCTGTATGGTTTTCTGTTTCGAATCACATTCTCGCAATTCTTTATCATCTGCAACTTTTATTACTTCAGGAAATAAAACTTTAATATTTCTTCCATAAAGCAGTTCAGCAGGAGCTTTATGTGTTGTTACATGTGGAGTCGCTCTGTAATTTCTTAGAAATTTATACAATTCTTGTTTCCATGATTTTCCTTCAACTGTAGCAGTTTTGATTGCTTTATTTAGTGGTTTCATGAAATTTTCAGCTTGGGCATTTCCTCTTGGCCATAACGGAGTTATTTTCTGATGATGAATTCCACAGTAGTCCATGAATCTTTTAAATTCGTGACTTTGAAACGGTGTTCCATTATCTGTCTTGAGCACTTCACAAAATCCATGTGTAGCAAATATTTTGTCAAAGATTGGAATCACGCTACGAGCTGATGTCGATTTTACGAGTTCAACTACAGGAAATCTTGAGTAGTTGTCAATGACTACCAAGAGATAATCACCACTAGGATACGGTCCACAGAAATCAGCACTAAGAGATTTCCAAACAGCTCTTGGCAATTCACTCATTCGTAAAGGTTGGAATCTTTCATCTTTTGTAACAGCGGCACAAGCTGGGCAATTTTTTATGTAGTTTTCCACCATTGAGTCAATATTAGGAAACCACAACTTTGCTCTAATCAATGCTTTTGTTTTAGCAACTCCTTGATGTCCCTCATGTGCTATGGAGACCATTTGCTTTCTCATCTTCACAGGAACTACTATACGATGTCCACGAAGAATTATGCCTTGTTCAGTTATGCTCAATTCACTAGATAAACTTTCAAAATTTCGCATTTCTTCACAGTTTCGATAATCTTGCCATTTTCCAGAAACAATGCATTTTTTCACATTTTGCATCATAGGGTCATTGAAAGTCTCTTCTTCTATTTCTTTTAGTGTGATCGCTTTTGGACAAGCACTTTCACACACATAGTTCAGAAATTCTTCTGCAATTTTCAGATCACGGTTATTCTCTGCTTTCGATGGATGACGTGACAAATAATCTGCTGGATTATTCGCTCCAGGTCTGTATATCACAACAAAATCATATTGCTGTAGTCGTAAACACCATCTTTCTATTCTTGGAGAAGGCTTTGCAGTAACATTTGAAAATATACTAACCAATGGTCTGTGGTCAGTAATAACATTGAATTTCATTCCATATAGGTACAAGTGAAAGTGTTCAACTCCCCAACGAACAGCCAGTGCTTCAC